TTGACTCCGTCTTCTCCTTTAGACATCTTAAACTCAACATGAACAAAACTAAACTAGTTATCTTTTTCCCTAAATGCTTCCCCCTTCCAAACTTCTCTATTACAAGCAAAGATACCACCGTCCCCCCAGTCCCCCGGGATCATACCTAGGTGTCATCCTCACCTCCTCATTATCTCTCACCCCTCACCCCAATATTCAAGCTGTTGCCAAGGTCTACTGATTTCACCTTTGCAACATCTCTCAGATATACCCCTTCTCTTCTCTGATACTGTCACTACCCTGGTACAGGCCCTCATCACCTCATGCTGGGACTATTGCAATAACCTACTGGTGAATCTACCTGCCTCAAGTCTCTTCCCATTCCAATCCATCCTCCATTTAGCTGCCAAAATAATTTTTCTAAGGCACAGGTCTCACCATGGCACTCTCCTACTCAATAAATACTATTCTATTACCTTCAGGATCAAATATAAAATTCCTTCATATCTTTCCCCACACAAACATACATTTCTAGCTTCTTCTACTCTATGTCCCTTCCACCATCACCATGTACTATTCGATCCATTGACACAGGCCCTCCTTGGCGTTCCTTGAATAAGACATTCCCAACTCCTGACTCTGGATATTTTCTCTGGCTGTCCACCATGCTTGGAATGCTCTCCCTCCTTATCTCTGTCTCCTGACTTCCTGATTTCCATTCAAGTCCCAATTAAAATCCCACCTTCTACAGGAAGCCTCTCTCAATCTTTCTTAATTCCAGTGCCTTCTCTCTGTTGATTATTTCCTATTTATCCTTTCTATAGCTAGTTTGTACATATTTGTTTGCATGGTGTCTCCCCATTAAGTGTCAGCTTCTCAAGGTCAGTGACTCTTTTTTGCTTTTCTTTGTATCTCAAGCATTTTAGTACAGTATAGTGTATAGTAGGTGCTTAATAAATGTTAATTGACTAACTGACAAAATCAGTGTCAGAGTTGTAGGGCACTAAAGGAGTGGAAAGTTTAATAAGACAAGAAACCACAGGACTGAAGACCTGAGAAGAGGCTAGAAAAGTTTTTGTACAAATAAAACAGACATAGCCAAGATCAGAGGGAAAGTGGAAAACAGGAGTGGAGGTAGGGGCATGAATTTTATAGACAGCTTCTCAGATAAAGGTCTCATATCTCAAATAAATAAAGAACTTTGTCAAATACATAAGAATATGAGTAATTTCCCAATTGATAAATGGTTAAAGGATACAAACAGGCAGCTTTTAGATAAATCAAAACAATTTATAGTCATATGGAAAAATGCTCTAAATCAGGTGTGGCCTTTTGACTGAGTCCAAGGGTTTTTGGGGTTTGTTTGTTTGTTTGTTTTTGTGAGGCAATTGGGGTTAAGTGACTTGCCTAGAGTCACACAGCTAGTGAGTGTTATGTAGCTGAGGTGTAATTTGAACTCAGGTCAAGGTGACTCCAAGGCCAGTGCTCTATCCACTGTACCACCTAGCTGCCCCTGAGTCCAAGTTTTACAAAACAAATCCTTTTATTAAGGGGATTTGTTCTGTGAAGTTTGGATTCAGTCAAAGTGCTGCACTTGAGGACCTAGAGGGCCACATGTGGCTCAAACCTGCAGGTTCCCCACGCCAGCAATATGGATTAGAGAAATTCAAATGAAAACAACCTTGAGATATCACTTTATACCTGTCAAAATGGCTAAAATGATTGAAGGGGGAAAGCGACAAGTGTTGGAAGGGATGTGGAAAAATTAGGACACTGATTCATTGTTGGTGGAATTGTGAACTGATCCAACCATTTTGGAGAGCAATTTGGAATTATACCCAAAGAGTTATTAAACTACCTATTCTCTTTGACCCAGTAATACCACTACAAGGTCTATTTCCAAAGATGAATAGAGAAAAAGGAAAAGAATCTATATGTTCTATATTTATAGCAGCTCTTTTTGTGGTGATATAGAACTGGAAATTGCAGGGATGCCCATCAATTGGGGAATGGTTGGGCTAGTTGTGGTATATAATTGTGAGGAAATACTACTGTGCTATAAGAAATGATGAGCTCAATAATCTAAGAAAAGCATGGACAGATGCATGAAATTATGAAGCATGAAATTATGAAGCATGAAATTATGAAGAATGAAATGAGCAGAGCAAGAGAATGTTGTATACAGTAACAGCAATAGTGTTTTAAGAACAACTTTGAGCAAACAAGTAATATGAAGGAAGACACTATCTGCATTCAGAAAAAGAACTGATGAATAGAAATATGTATAGAATAATTTTACATACATACTTATTTGTGTCTAATGGTAGTCATTGCTAGGGTGAAGGGTGAGGGGAAATAAAGGAAAAAAGAAGTTTACATGATAATATTTGCAAAGAATAGCAAGTTGTGCCTAGTAGACTTGCAGTTTCATGTGCAATCATCTTTTTGATTTTACTATATTATGGAAATGCTTGTTTTATTCCATAAATTAAAAATAAAATAAAGAAAAATTTAAAAAGGAAAAAAAAGAAAGAAAGAAAGAAAGGGCAATAAGGTAGAGAGATTCATACTGAAGAAGATGATAATCTGGACTTTGGCCTTTATTGGTGCAATGAGTCATATGGCCCATGCTGGTCTAATAGTAGGTAAAGTTTGACTGTCTAGTGAAAACAAGCCACATATTACTATAAGTTAAGTGGAAGATTAAGTAGGTTCTTTTTTGGGGGGGGCAATTGGGGTTAAGTGACTTGCTCGGGGCCACACAGCTAGTAAGATGTGTAGGTCTGAGGCAGGATTTGAACTCAGGTCCTCCTGACTTCAGGGCCAGCACTCTATCCACTGTGCCACCTAGCTGCCCCAGATTAAGTAAGTTCTTGTGGAAAGAAAAGGGAATCTTAATGATTGTTTATGGGTTCAGGTATATGTCCTTACATTTTTTCCTTTATACAAATGAAACATTTGTAATGTTTGAAGCTATTCATTTAAGTGCTTGCAGGTTAGGTGAGAATCATTCTTGGAAAACAAAATGAGCCTGACATTGAAATTCTCTGGATTCCTCTGGGTGAGTAGTTGAGCCAAGGAGATTTGAAAGTGAGAATTATATCTGAGTCCTTGCATCTGGAGGAAATACTTCAATGACTCCCTATTACTTCTAGGATATGATTCTTTGTCATTTTAAAGACCTTCAAAATCTAGTTACAATTTATCTTTCCTGACAGATCACATAACTGTTCTCTCTAACAGTGTTTGCTCCAGCCAAAGTGGTCTCCTTGTGTTTCCTCCTTCCATCTCCTTTTTTATGACTTTGGTTTTTTTTGGGGGGGTTTTGTTGTATTTTTTTTTTGGTGAGGCAGTTGGGGTTAAGTGACTTGCCCAGAGTCACACAGCTAGTAAGTGTTATGTGTCTGAGACCGGATTTGAACTCAGGTCCTCCTGACTCCAGGGCCAGTGCTCTATCCACTGTGTCACCTAGCTGTCCCTATGACTTTGAACCTACAATGCTCTTCTTCGCCTCTTTGAACCCCTTGAAGTTTCCTTGAATATGTAGTTCGAAAGTCATCTCCGACAAGAAGGCTTTCTTGATTCTTCCGGTTGTCAGCTCTACCAATTACTTTGTATCCCTTTTTATATAGTTTATATTTGCTTATCTGTACATAAATTGTTATTATTATTATTCTTAATAGATTATTAACTTGAGGACAGGAACTCTTTTCTCCCCCTCTTCGTATCCCTAGCACCTAATGACATTCATTAAGGTTTGAGTAAATGCTTGTTGAAGTGAATGATTCAAAGCCAAGATCTCCTACAGAAGCACCGAAAGAGAGCAGAAATACCTGGGAGAGCAGGTGTGAATTATGGAAAGCCGCACAGAAGAGCTGACACCTGTGCTAAGCCTGGAACGAAATGAAGAATTCTGAAAGATGAAGATAAGGAGAAGAGTAAATTGGAGTTGCTGGGGACAGATTGGGAAGGCAGGAGGTTGAATGTTGAGGTTAGAGACTTCCCAGCAGCCCAGTTTGCCTGCAATGTGAAGTTCTTAAAAACGAATAATTTGAAATAAAGCTATAAAGGTAGACTGAAGTCAAATGGGGGAGGTGGGGGGGGGGAGAGCACTGCAATTGCCAGGCTGAGAAGTTGGCATTTTATTCTAGAAATAAAAGGAAATCAATAAAGATTTTTTGATTAGGGAAGGGACATGGTCAGGCCAGTAACTTAAGATTATTTTGGCAGCTGGGTGAAGAAGGGATTGAAGAGGGCAGAGACTGGAGGCAGGGAGAATATTAGAATGCTAATATTTTCTCAGAGAAGTTGATAATGTACTAACCCCTATATTAGTGGCCTTGATATAAAGGGAATGGATATGAGAGATTTTGTGAAGATAGAATTGTTAAGTCTTGGCAACTAAGTGGGTATAGGGGTAACGGTATGAAAAAGAAGAAAAGTCAAGGAAGACTCCAAGGTTAGATACCTGAATGACTGAGAGAATGGTGGTATTCTTAACAGAACTAGAGTTAGATGGATGAGGTAATTTCTTGAGTCGCCTCCATCATATGATTCTATGAAGAATTTATAAATATCAATGAGATCTTATGAGCATGCACTAAAAATGTTACCCTGAAAAACATGAATATGGTACATGAAAAGATACTCAAGTAGTAATTCCTCTCAGGTGAGTTTCTTGGGGGGAAAAAACTGAAAAGAAAGCAAGACTATGACTTATAAAACTGATTTCCTGGCTGGAAAGAGGCAAACCAAGAAAATAAAAAGCAGCCACCATTCAGGGCAACCTGAATCCTGCCCAGCTTGTCACTCTCAGGTTTTCCTGTGCATTTCTGCTGACTGGAATGCCTTCACTATGAGCTCATGTCTTTCCAGAAAAAATCCCACTTAATGCCTTCATTCAGTCAAAGGGGTATATATAGGGGAGTTTTGCAGCTCAGTGCTATGCAGCCCAGGGAACACCACCACTCTCCCTAAAGTGCTTGCATTGTCTTCTCAACTCTCCACCTTTTTGCCAACAGACATGGACATAACTATCCAGCACCCCTGGTTCAAACGGGCTCTTGGATCCTTATATCCAAGCCGCTTGTTTGACCAGTTTTTTGGAGAAGGCCTTTTTGAATATGACCTCCTGCCTTTCCTCTCCTCCACCATCAGCCCTTATTACCGGCAGTCACTCTTCCGAACTGTATTGGAATCAGGCATTTCTGAGGTAAGAATTTGTTTATTCCCCACGGTAGCCACCCTTTTTCTTTGTCAGTTTTCTTATAGATAGTCAGAGGTGATGATGACCCAGAGACCTTTTATAGGAGGAAACTGTGATTTGACTATGTGTCTGCTCCAGCAGCTTAACTGTATTTAGGCTGATGTCCTCAGGCTCTGTTATTTGTGTTGCATGTGGCAGGGGCATGAGGTTCACTGACCAGCCTTATTCCTGTCTCCCAAATCCCCACCTGAATTCTCAGATGTCTCCATTTGGTCAAGCAAAAACAGAACTGGTGCTTGGTGCTTGCCAGTTGTTACTTCTAGCTGCATGATTGCACCTCTAATGGAGAAATAGTGCAGCGGCAGAACTGTACTATAGTCTACTCCATGTCCCTGGGAAGGGGGGAGCTGAAGATAAATCCAAACTGAGCACGACCGTTCTCTTTTCCTCCCATCAGCTCATGACCCATGTGTGGTTTGAAATGCACAAACCACATGCTGGAAACCCCAAGAACAACCCTACCAAGGCAAGTTGTTTGTGTTCAGCTGCTTCCCCAACCGTCTGCTCTGGGCTGTGAAAGCCAGGCTGGGGGTGGGTGCTTCCTTGTACCCTGCAAGTCAGTCTATCTAGGGTTTCCTCTCCAGCAGATTGCAGAAAAGTTAGAATCTCTTCCCTGTTGGGTTAGTGGAATCTCCCAGTGCCTGCTCTAAAAAAAAAAAAATGCACCAAAAGTAACCCTACAAAAATCTAGGAAACTGATAAAAGTGCTGGTTAAGTAGAGGATGCATGATAATAAAACTGATATTTATAGAGCATTTATTTGAAAGCTGGTGAGGTGCTGACACAGGTTATATATTATTTGATCCTCACAAAAACCCTGTGAGGTAAGTACTCTAAAGATTATTATCCTCCTTTTACAAATGAGAAAAGTGACGCTCAGAGAGGGTAAATGACTTGTCCATGGTCACTCAGCTAGTAAGGCTCAAAAGGATGATTTGAACTCAGGTCTTCTTGACTCTAATCTCTAAATGTGCAATCCAGTATGCCACAATGATTCTGTTAGTGTGAGTGCTTAATAAGTAATATCCAAATGCTCAAAGGAAAGATGGGTTATGTGAAAATATGCCACAACAATAATCTTATTCACCCATCACTTGAAGCAGAAAGCTTCTTAAGAGTGTTAAAATGAATCAGGGATACAGTTATTTAACACTCCAGACAAGATAGAGATGGTAGCACTGCCTATACATGCAAACTGAATTGCAGAGTGGAGACAATTATGCCAAACCCTTAGGCAAAATAAACAAAGAAATTAAAAACCTATCATTGAAAAAACAGAATTTTTTTTTTGGAACTTAAAGCCTGAGTTTGTCTATGGATTCACCAAATAACTCAACCCACCTCATTTTGCTTTTAGAGACTTACTCTACATCCCCTATCTTAAAAATGGAAGGAGCCACAGATCTACTCTAATTCCTTTAGCTTTCTACAATCCATCTCAGGGAACATGGAAGGAATTGTTTCCTTGTCCACCAACAGGCTCTGCCAGGTGGTTGGTAAATCTGCATGTGACGTTTTAATTTCAGGTGAGATCTGACCGAGACAAGTTTGTTATCTTCCTGGATGTCAAACACTTCTCTCCTGAAGACTTGACTGTGAAGGTATTGGATGACTTTGTGGAAATTCACGGGAAGCACAGTGAAAGACAGGTAAGACAAAAAGTCATTAGCATCCATCATTAGCAAACCATTTGTGGTTTATTTTGTTATCTTTTTGAAGTTCTTTAGCTGGATGGAGAAAGAAGAAGAATTCAGTCAGGGAGAATAGGACAGTGAATGAATTATTTAAATTAAATCAGTTTCTTCTGAGGGTCACGATGCATCCTCAATAACCTTTTAGAAGATAAAACAAAGGAATGTGATTATCAGCAGGACAGTCTGATGGAACACCAACCTACAAGTGGCAGTATTGGACTTCAAATATGCCTCCACTGCCAATTTTGCTTTGTGAAAACTGCCCAACTTTATTTTAGTTGCTCCATCAGCCTCTTTCGACTGCCAGGAAAATACTTCAAATATATAAAGGACCTATGATTTCCTCATGTGGAAACTCCTTCTACCTAAAGGCAGATAACAACCTGTTCATAATTTATAGTCTTAGAAAGGTATCTGAGATTTATGCAGATTGTGATGTGACTGAGTCATACATAAATATGAGTATCAGAGAGGGGATCTATACTCACGTCTTTAGATCTCCGAGTCTTATGCTCTATCAAAGGTGTCTCTTTTGCTAGGAGAATGGTTTAATTAAATGAGCTAAGATTTGTGCTAAGCTCCTTAAGTAGAGATGGCTTTGTTTTGGTCTGTATATTCCCAGAACCTAGATCGTTTCCTTGCTTAATAAATAGGTGCTTAAGAAATATTTGAATTGAACAGAGTTGCCTTTAAGGTATATGATTGAAAGGTCATGAGCAAATACTGAGAGTCATTATTAAAACTAGTGTTCCAAAGTGTATCATCTGTATGACTTTACCATGTCATCCACAGGATTCAGTCTTAAATTAAACTTAAACAGGAATACCATGGCATTATTCAGCCACATCTTGGTTCATCACAATCAAACACTGAACTGTGTTTTGATTCAGGGAAAGCTAAAGCAAGTATGCTGTCTAAAGCAGACACAGGACTTCTGACTTTTCACACAGCAGGATGCCTAGCATAAATGAGAAGAACAAATAAAACAGTCTTAGGTTTGGAAATTTTCCACACATGAGATGCAAAATTGGAATAAGACCATGTAGTATATAAATGTTCATTGAGTCGAATTGAAATGAAATAGAATGTTAGCAGAAGTCTTAATGTCCTTCTCAAAGTTATAGCCTTTCCTGAAATATAAGGAACTTAAGAACAAACCCCTAGCTTTCCTACCTGTAGTAAAATCATGCCACCTTGTTTCTTATTTCTGCTACCTCTCTGTATTCTTGGGATATTTTAATTTAATTTAATTCCTGGGACCACTTTAATTTCATCTAGCCAATGAGATGTTTCTCCATCTTATCTTATTTAATTGACATCTTTAGCTTACAGAAAAGAGAATGTTGTTGGATCTACAAAATTTGAGGCTATCTAAGAGATTTGAAACTAATTTTCCCTTAGATGGGACTTTTTGTTCCCATGTTACTTTATTGCTATAACTCCTAACCATGTGTGTTCACATATATATACATATACATATATATACATATACATATACATATATATACATATACATATATATACACATACATATGTTGTTGTTCAAGTTGTTTCAGTCACGTCTGACTTGTGACCCCACTTGGGGTTTTCTGAGCAAAGATGTTGGTGTGGTTTGCCATTTCCTTCTCTAGCTGAGGAAACTGAGGCAAACAGAATTAAGTGACTTGCCCAGGGTCATGCAACACCTGTCTGAGGTCAGATTTGAACTCATGAAGATAGTCTTCCTAATTCCAAATCCAGTGTTCTGTGCACTGTGTTATCCACCCAATTGCCCCATGTGTGTGTACAAAAATGTTTAAAAATACAGTGGGACTATTTTTTAATGAAGCATTACTTTAATTCAAGAATTAAATTGATGTAATTAGAAGAACCAATATCCTGGTCATCGAATGACCATATGAAAAAGACCTAGGAAACCTACTGTAAAGATTCCATTTTTACAATTCCTTGTTTTGAAATAGAGGTGTGGCTGGCAACAGTTTTTAAAGAAAGAAACTAATGTAATCCACGGCCCCAAACTCTGAGCTCTGGTTTGCTTGAACTGGGTTCAATATCAGGAGACTTCTAAAGAATTCTCTCTCTGACTCATGTTGTTCCTTCTCAAACATATCTCTGGGAAATTTTGGAATATATCTTGTTTCTAGGTCTCCAGAGTTATAGATAAAGCTCTTTTCCAAGGACTCTTCCAAGCTATGAATATAACAACAAACATTATCTAGAGTAGTCTTTTACCTCTACAAAAATTTAGAAAACACATTAAGAAATCACAGTATTCCATAAACAATGGAAATTCTCTCCACATTTTTGGTGACTATGATCTTCACCAACCTTTTACCCTTACCCTGGTACCTATAAAGGTCCCCAGGGACATAATACCATAATCAGTAGTTTGTATCAGTGGTATTAAACTCAAAAAGAAATAGATACCCATATATAATACAAGTTATATATAGAATATATATATTATAATACCACAAGTTAACATTGTCTATATTGTATTATATTTTTATTTATTTTGTTAAACATTTCCCAATTACATTGTGATCTGATTCTGGTGGCACTCAAGAGTTTTATAGGCCGGCATACACCTACATCATGAGTTTGATATTTCTTGATTGAATTATGCTTGGAAGGGAAATGTATTTGAGGTTGCTAAACATGCAACAATCTCTTCTGTTCAACACTCTAGTGAGTCCCACTTTCACTCTGGGGCACTCTGACCTAATGGTACTACTTTAAGTATATAGTAGGAAAGTTCCCTTAGCTCAGGAAGGGAAATACATTTGGACTTTGTGGAGAGGAAACCCGTTTTCCATTGGCCCTGCATTTTTTCAGATAATTTTTGGTAGTAGTAGAGAGCCAATTTTAAGTCTTTTGCTCTCCCATTTTGTGGCTCAATCCCTTAATCGTCATCCAGCTATAGAGCCATGCACACAATCTTTTTTTCTGCTTAAATGGCTGGCAGCGTCCAATAACTCTCTCTTCTCTTTAGAATTCTAGATTTCAAAATTTCCAGGAAATATCCCCTCCTCTATTCAGGAAGCTAGAACTCAAGATTTTTTGCTGCTCCTTCAAAAGGTTGAGGTTCAGGAACTCCCACTACTGAGCCACAAGGTTCCCCTCTCTCCACAACTGTCATCTCTGGGGCTGAGGTTACACTTTTCATATTTAGGGGCAGGAATCTAGGGTCCAGGACCATTCCTGGGGCCACATAGTTAACAGGATTCACCCCTGCCCCTCAAAGACCTCTTTCAGGCTGTATGGATAAGAGTATATGTAGTTACATTGTACTTCTGCCCTAAGGCTGCCATTAACAGCTCCCAACTGAGGAAGTCTGTATGCATTTGTTCTAGCTCTGCTGCTCTCTAGTCTCATTTGTGAGTGCTTTAGAAATTGTATCTCCTTTGATCCTCACAACAACCCTGAGAGGTAGGTGCTAACCTACTGTTTTACAATCAAGGAAACTGAGGCTGAAGTCAAGTGATTTTTTCCAGAGTCACACAAGTAGTAAATGTCTGAGGCCAAATTTGAACTCAGCTCTTCCTGACGCCAGGCCCAGTGTTCTATCCACTGCATCACCTAGCCCAGCCCAATCAACTTATTTCAATCAATGAAACTTAAGAAGAATCTCTAATTCTCAATGAGGTGTAGTTGTATCCCAGTTGATCAATGATACCATCTTCATGGTAAGATACAAAGTCCTGAAGAAAGGTTTAGTACCCTGTAAGCTCATCGTGTTTATCCCTTCATCTAAAGCTACATAATAGCTTTTTGTTTAGGATGTGTGAATTCTTTGCACATTAGAGAACTGTGGTAGTTTCATGCCTACTCCACATATTAGTATGTGTTACATATAGCCAGAAGGACTTCCAAATTCATTATAGAATGAGAATTCTGAGGCACGAAATACCTACAATCACAGGAGACAGTGGGTAGCTCTCTGCCTTTAAATAATCATTCTTTCCTACCTTTGCCTTCTACCAGGATGACCACGGCTATATCTCCCGTGAATTCCATCGTCGCTACCGCCTGCCTTCCAATGTGGATCAGGCCTCCATTTCCTGCTCCCTGTCTGCTGATGGCATGCTGACCTTCTCTGGTCCCAAGATCCACACTAACATGGATTCAAGCCACAGTGATCGATCCATCCCTGTATCTCGTGAGGAGAAGCCCACCTTGGCTCCCTCTTCCTAAGCTGAGGCAATGTGAGTCACATAGGCTGCTACAACCTGCAGTCTTTACTCACAAAGCCATTGCATAGATACCAGGGGAAAATGTAGAAAAGTCAGAGTTGTTTTTTTCCTCTGCTCTATCCCCTCTTTTTTTGTTGTTATTTTCATTTTCTTAGATGGGATAAAGGTCTGAGAGAGTCTGAGACATTGGGCCTTGAGGCCTAAAACCTAAAGAGCTGTGATGTTAGTGATGACCTAAAATCTAAATGTTAAAAACCCAAATCCCATCACCTGGCTGATTTGCAGAAATGGCCATTGTCCTAAGCTGTTTTTAATAACATCTTCAAGTGACTGAGAGCTTCCTGGTGTTAACCTCCAATAAACCAAATGAAGAAGAATCAACAACTGAGCTGATCAATGTGAAGATAAATTGAAGTGGAGGGAGTAGGGAGTAATAGATATTTAATAAAGAACCTCCATGTAATTCAAAAGTTCCTCGCATATGACACATCCTAATATATGCAGGTCACAGCTGGATTTTTAGACAGGTGTATCCCAATAGCAAGGATGTTAGTTTCTGTTAGCGATGCTTCCTATGACAGCAAGGAGTAGGTGTTTCACAGCTTTGGAGATTCTGTGAGAGAGTTACATCATAATATTAAGGCTTCAAATCCCCGCTGGGATCTCATAGGGCTGTATGTCTCAGACGATCTTTCTCAAAATTTCTAACATAGGTTCACCACAATGTAAGAATACCACCACTGGCCACCAATAAAGTAAATGTGACATGAGCAAACCATGGCTTTGTGTCAGTTTCTTTCTTTTGGTGAGGCGATTGGGATTAAGTGACTTGCCTAGGGTCACGCAGCTAGTGTCAAGTGTCTGAGGCCAGATTTGAACTCAGGTCCTCCTGACTCCAGGGCTGGTGCTCTATCTATTGTGCCACCTAGCTTTCTTTTCTTGGGGTTTGGAATGGAAAAGATAAATGTGTCGACTTGGTTCGAAAGAAGGTTCAAACATGAATATTATATTATTATATATTATAAAAGGTTGAGGTTTGGGGACAAAGAATTGAAATTCTTCCCCTTCTTTGCCAAGGTGTTAGTTTTCTGTGTCCTACAATAATCAGACCACATCTGGAGAATTGTATTCAATTTAGTACATTGAAATTTGAGGATGACATTGATAAGTTGGAGTGCATGCAAAGAAAAGTGACCAAGATAATGAAAGGATTCAAAGTCATGCCACATGAGGATGGGAAAAAGGAACTAGGAATGTTTAACTAGGAGAAGAGGCACATTTAAGGAGACATCTATGGGATAATAGAGGGCTAAAGGGTAGAAGTAAAGCAGCTAGGTGGTATAATGGTTAGAGTGCTGGCCCTGAAATCAGGAAGACCTGAGTTCAAATGTGACTTCAGACACTTACTAGCTGTGTGACCCTGGGTCAGTCACTGTTTGCCTCAGTTTCTTCACTGTAAAATGGGATAATAATAGCACCTCTCAGGGTTTTTATGAGACCAAAAAAGATAGTATCTTAAAGCATTTAGCACAATAGGTGCTATATAAATACTTATTCCCTTCTCAAGTAACCATGAAAGAAATTGTAAAATTTGAAATTCAATAAAAAGAATTTAACAATTAGAGATGTCCAAAAATGGAAGATTAGGGTGATGAAGTTATGGTCAGGAGCTTATGGTGATGATAACAATAATAACAATTGCATTTATACGGTGCTATAAAATTTGCAAAGAGCTTCACAAATATGACCTCATTTTCTCCTCACAACAATCCTGGGAGGTAGGTGCTATTATTACTTCCATTTTGCAGGTGAGAAAACAGATAGATAAAGGTGAAATGACTTGTCCAAGGTAATGCAGCTAAGTGTCTGAGAACAAATTTTAACCTAGGTCTTCCTGATTCCAGGCTCAGGGCTCTCAGTGCTCTAGCCACCATCTACTTTGATTCCTTCTCCCAGCAGCCCCTGAATGGGCATTGCCTTAGGCAAAGTAAGAATTTGGAAAGACCTTCGCTTAAAAAGCCCAAAGTCCCTCACTGCTACCTGGGCCATCTCCAGTTGTCCTGATCCATATCTGGCCACTGGACCCAGATGGCTCTAGAAAAGATAGTGAGGCTGGTGACTTTGCACAGCTCTCTCTCACTTAAAATCCAATTCAATTGCAAGTCACAGCATCATCTTCCTGATGTCAACTCTTCAAGAATGAAGGACAAAAACCACAGCTTTCTCATAACTGAGAGTTTTGAAGCAGTGATGAGATGACTACCTGTTGAGAATATTGTAGAGGGAATTCATGTGTTAAGTAATGGTTGGACTGGATGACTTTACTTGGATGTCTTAGAAATTTAATTTCAAAATGTTCGGAACCCAACTCTTATTTTTCAGTAAGCCAGCTCTTCCTTCTAACTTTTCTGTTCATATTAATACTACCACTATTCTTTCAGTCACCCTGGCTTGGAGTCATCTTTGATTCTTCCTCATACCCGTATTCAATTAGGTGCCAGGTCCTATTGATTCTTTTTTTTTAAACCCAAGAATATTTTATTGTTTTTATTTTACAGCCATTTATGCCATGGATACATAGGGGATCGGTTCCGGCAGCTCAGGTTCCTTGCCATTGGTTCTCACAAAGTGTTCTTCTCTGAATGGAGCAGGCTGGCATTTTGGTTGAACCCCAGTGTCTTTTTCTTTGGCTTCCTCCTTCTTCTGATCATTTTCCTTTACCCACTTCAGGAAGCTATCTCTGCTCTTGGAATGCTTAATATGCTCAATACGCACATTAATTCTCTTGGGTAGAATCTTGCCTTTAACCTCTTTGTTTACAACAATGCCTACAGCATGTTGAGTAACATTATAGACCCATCCAGTCTTGCCATGGTAACATTTGAGGGGCATTCCTTGCTGAACTGTGCCCATACCCTTGATATCTACAATATCACCTTTCTTGTATACTTGCATATATGTAGCCAGAGGGACAACACCATGATTTCGAAAGGGCCTAGAAAACATCTGTCGTGTCCCTCTCCTTTTTCCTTTTGTGTTTGTCATTTTGGCGACTCACTGGAATATGGTGGAGCTGGCAGAAAGGCCCTATTGATTCTTCTTCACGATGTTACTCACATCTACCTTTTTTCTCCTCCTCTCCATTACTACCACCCTACTTCCAGGCATTATAACCTATATTCATGACCACAACTTCTTTTTGCCTCCTTCCAGTCAATTTTACAAATCGCTTCCAGATATAGCTTCCCAGAGCTCAGTGTTGATCCAATAACCCCCTTACTGTTTCATTAAGACCATGATTTTTATCAATATGAGTATTCTCTTCATTGGTGAAACATGCAACCTATCTGTGCCTCCTTATCCTATGAAGTCTTCATCCATGTTTTCTCACGTGTCCTCCATGGGGGATCTATCCAGCAGCTTACTTGCTGACATTCATGTAGTGTTTTAAGGTTTGCAAATTCTTTTAAGTATATTACCTCTTTTGAGTCTCACAACCATCTGATGAGGTAGATACTATAATTATTATTATCCCCATTTCATAGATAAACAAATGGAGGCTCAGAGCAAGATATTAAATGATTTGCCTGTGTCCACACAACTATAAACAGGTGGATTTAAACCTAGGTCTTCATGACTCTAGGTTCAACCTTCTATCCATGACAGTGTGCTATCTCAATGTTACACTTAAACTGTCCACCTCTTATCTTTCCTTCCTGTTATACAAGTGGCTTACCTCCATTTAAAAATATTTCTTGGATTACACTCTTTTTGCTACTTTTTTGCTGAGTAGCTCATCATTAGAAATACATTGCTGTCTACTTATCAACCATTCATTTCTTCGTTGCATTTTTGGGACACACAACTTTTAATCTTCGAAGATTGCAACCATATGGCTTCAACGAGAGAATATTTATGAGTTTTTATGACAGGGAGCAACTTGGAATAGTTGGAAGCATTGTGCATCTTCCCAAATATAATATATAGCCCAATCTCCTCTTTTCACTTACTTCATGCCCAGCCAATTTTCCATCAATAGTGCTTCTCCAAGACATATGTTATCAATGGACATCTCATCAACTAAATACTATATACTAGATATGCTAACCATATGCTTTTTCCTGCATGGATTGTTGGGCCAATCCCTTTTGCAGCCTCTTATACCTATCTCATTGAGGAGGCTCTGTAATATTCTGTGATTTATAGAGTGGGCACAATGTCATCCACAAAAAGGAGTGCTTTAAAGGCAGACTTCATTATCAGTGGAGAGTTTCTCTTCCATTAGGACTCTGTACTGTCCATATGACAGAAGTAAACAAACCTCTTTGGTGAATCTACAGCTACTTCTTTTATGCACTGATCAACAATAACCAAAGGATGATTTAACACAATTATCTCTGTGGTTGCATTTGTCAAGGAATCTTATTTGATTTTTACATATACGTGAGAGACTGCTTCTTCAGAGAAGGGCCTTTTGCATGTTACTTTGATCTATTGTGTCAAATATGTCTTTATAACCAATAAACAATATGTGCAATAAGATAATATAGTCTATGCACCTTTCAGGCAATTGTGTGACTTTAAAGACGTGGTCTGTGGTAGAAAACAGTATGTGAGAGTTTGTCTATTCCTTTCTGATATTTTCATCAAGTATACCCTTGATCATTCTCATAAAGATTTTATAAAGAAGTAGGCATATAAAAAAGTAGGCATGAATGCCTTTTTTGGAATAGTAATATCATCTATGAATATTTTCATTCTTTTGATATCTTCACCTCCAAGAGATATCTTGTAAAATGAAGCCTAAATATGTTCAAAAGTATTTTGCTTCCAATACAGCACTCTGCTAGCCTGGCAAGACATTAAGGACAGATGCTTATCGTCAGTAGGTTGACCACAAGGTAATAATTTTTTGTGGTTGTTATTGTAGCCCATGATGCAAACAAACAAACAAAATACTCCAACTATTTTTAAATGACCTGAAGTCCTCTGTAGCTTTCCTCTGTTATGATGAACAGTAAGATTCATCTAGTTCTTAGACCTTTTGTTAATTTAATTGTAGTTTAAATGGGAGATCTTTGTCCTGAGATCAATTAGTGTAATCCATCAGCAACCATTTACAAGCCAGATGTATGCTAGACACTAAGGATGCAAACACAAAGAAAATAATAATAATAAAAAAAAACTCTTTTAGGAGTTTATATTCCAACAGGGAAGACAAACTACTATATGATT